ATCCCAAAACCCCAGGTAACCGCTCTACCTTTTACCAGCTACATGTTATCACTGGTCAAGATCCCCCCTTCCACGAACACCAGCAGACTCTCCCTAAGCCCGAAGAGGAGTGTTTGTACCTGAAAGCTTGCAAAGAACAATTTTCCCACTATTTAGTTGGCCTAATATAAGATATCACATTTATCCAAAGAACGTGTCTGCTTATGTTCTTAGACCCACATGGCTATAACCAACATCCCCCCAAAAATGCAAAGTATTATAGAAACATAGAGAAGTCGGGCTGGAAGGGACCTCCAGAGGTCACATTTAGTCCAACCTCCTCCTTATTCAAACTATCCCATACAATCCATAATCTAAACTCCACTGAAAATACCCTCAACCCTGACACAACCAGACCTAACGGCCTACGTATTGTGGTAACACTTTTTCTCTGGGACCGTCAGGTCTGGTGCGAGTGAAGTCCTATTCATGCTGCCCATGTAGAGGACTGTCCCTGTGTCTGTTTTAATGGGATTCAAAGCACAGGACAATGACAGCCCCAAGATAAACCCAATCTGTATAGAAATAAAAGCAAATAGTAACTTTCCAAGGGTTTTTTTTTCCTAGCCAGCCTGTACAATACAATCCAATTGCTCTTTTCCAGAAGTCTAGCTATCCCAGAGTGGGCAGCCGGTGTATTAGGCCAGGTGCTCTGGTTCCTTAGAGCTACAGCATCCTGGCTCTAACTCAAAATGACTATGGGAGTTGTAGGCTGGGCAGCAATGCATTCTGGGAAATAGAGCAGAGCTATATAAGAGCACGCTGCAGAAAACAGGATGGATCAATTAAAGAAGAGGGAGCATTTATTGTGTGGTTTTTGGGGGTTTTTTTTGGAAAATATAAGCAACAACAGCTGGGCTGGGCTGGGGAAGGGATGAGATAGGAGGTCTCCGTGGGCAGCCAGGGAACTGCGGAAAAGTGGGGTGGTTTGAGCTGGAAAGCCAAGCACTGTGGGAGCGTGGGAACTGTTTATGTGTCTCTCCTGAGACGCTGCACAAATTGCCTGATGTCAAAGGAGCCTATGAGCCCTGAGCCAAAATGGGAGTGGACAGGTCCCAGCTCTGAGATCCAAGGGGGCTTCTTCTAGGAAGAAGAGGAGTCCATGCACTGCATAACAGCTGCAGGGAAACTGAGGCAGCAGCTGCTTTACTGCAAGGCGATGGTACTGCACCACTCGTGGTGCCGCTTAAAAAACACCCTCCCACAAACTGGTGTTGCCTGTTGCTCTCTATGTGCAGCAAAGGCAACTTCGATGGAAACCCCTATTAAAACGGTAGAGTCTTTAAACTCTGCCTTATGGTAAAGCTTAGTGAATGCCAGCTTCCAGGGGCTGTGCTCCTCTTTCTCCCAGAGCGAGCATAATGTGATTCCCTGATGCCTGGGCTGTGGGAAAGGAAAAGAGGATTTGTCAGCTTGGGGCCCCCTGAAAACTGGTAGAAAAGCTCCCTTTGATATGAGGGAGGAAGGCTGGCTGGCGGGGCAGCAAACTTAGCTGAACAGGCTGACTCAGACTTACTCTGGTTTAACTGCAGTAGCTAGAGGGGTGGATATGCTGTTCTCCTCTGCCTGGCGGACTTTGAAATTGGAGCAAATTCAAGATACTGCAGATACCGCACGCCCTCCCTTTATCTGATACCGACTGGCTACGTGACAGCAAAGCCACTTCACTCTGCGAGCACCTGACCAAGAGCAGGCGTAGCTGTTACCTAGCGGTCTTGGGAGAGACAGTCCCCATTAGCACAGAGCCACATGCCACTTAAGTAGCGCTGACCACGTCTTATTGCTGTTTCCTTCCCCCTGCGGGGCTCGGCCTCACTGACCTCTATGCTGGGGACAGAGAGCAAAAACAGACATAATATCCCCCTTCCAGCCTTGGATGCACAGAGTCACCGTGTCCTGGAGAAAAGGAACCTCCTTGATTTCCACCTCCTTTTTTGGTATTGCAATGCTAGTAACGAGGGGAGAAAAAACCCAATCTCATTTGCGTGCTGGTTACAAAATACCACTCCATGCTGCCATTCTGGCACAGAGCGCTTGGCCAGGCTGGACTCATTCACTAAATGTTTCTGAACGGAAAGTGCAAAACCAAAGTATGCCAGGTGTGGAGGAGCCAATGCTAAAATGCAAGGAGGCACAGTCTGTGGGGACACATCCCCCCCCTGCACAGCTTGGAAATGCCAGATGCGATTCTGGACTGTTTTACAAAAGATGGGTTGGCAAACCCACCTACATCTGACATTATCTCACCTGTCCGCTCTCAGTGCCGGCCCTGAGTGTCTTGCCAGGGTAATGGCCAAACTCACGAGCCCCAAACACAAGCATCCCTGATCCCTGCAAGTATTTACTTTTGGCTCTGCACAGGGGCATGCCAGGACTGTGCTGATGAAGCCAAGCGCTGCACACCAATTCCTGTCTCCATCTCTGTAACAAGGCTGAGACTTGGCGATTCACGTGCTTTGAACTGTGGCTTAGTAGATGAGGGCGGTCAGGGGACGTGTTTTGTGCCTCCATGTGCTACACTGGAGGCACTGTTCCCGGATCCAACTGGTGTCAGCTGGACCCAGGCGCATACCTGACAGCGCTCTGTGGCCAACGCTGCTTCTTTTGTGGGACGTGGCATCTACAGTGGGAGAGTGAATGGGTGGGACCTGCTTTTTGGTGGCATGGCCATGCCTGAGGCCTCTGCTGCCTGCCCTACTTCTAGGGATCTCCCGAGGAAGGAGACAGTATTATCTGGGGAGGGTTGAGGGCTGTTTCGCTTGGGTATGTCTATATGAGCTCCCTGCTGCTCTTACAGCTGCTACTGAAAAATTAGCTCTGCCCCCCCTCACATGCCAGAGAGGTCCCCTGCCACCCCTCTGGAGATCGGTCCCTTGGGAGTAGTGTGGAGCCAGTAGAGACACAGTATTTGCTTCATGAAGGGTTTCTTAAAGAGGCACATCCTGCCACATGACCTGTAGGTGCCCAGACTCTCAATTAGGCTGGTCTCTGCCAGTCACTCACTCGCTGACTCTGTAGGATGTTGCTTTTCCTTGCTGTGCTGACTTCGGACTGACTAAATGCTTGTGATGGGCCCTGCAAATGGTTCCAGGCATTCATGGAAATTGCGGCTGTGGCAGGGGTGGAGCTGGGGATGGGGGGTGAGGTGGTGTAGTTGTACCCCCCCCCTTTGATTCTTGCTGTACCCAAACTTTAAAACTTTAGAAGTTGAAAACCAACTGCCTGGGAGGGGCAGTGGCATTTCTATTCAGGCAGTGCAGAGGCAATTGACTTCGTGGTGCTTTCTAATCCACCTCGTTCCTACTAATCTCCTTTCATTCCATAGGTGTTAATGACCCTCTCTCTTTTTTACTGGTCTCTCTGGTCCACTCTTCAAAGTATCCTTCCTTCTGCAGTGCTGCTGCCTGTTAGCCATTCCTGGTACTGTGACTCTTTTATTTCACCGCCCTGTAGTCTGTTTTTAGCTCTAGCCAAAAATGTTACCTTGGGTGTAGTCATATGAACTCAGGTGTAGAAATGCCTGACGGGGAAGTCTTGGTGACACTGTGAAGATGCTTTGGAAGACCAAATTGCATTTTACAAATGTGAATGAGGGATGTACATTAAACTATAATGACAAGAGAACTAACAGTACACTATCTTTGGACTATTTTAACCATTTTTTGGCCTACTTCCTTGCGTGTTTTTAAACTAGATATAGAGTCTAGCAAATTAGTAGACAGTCCAGTAAAGTTATAGTTGTTTTTGCTTTGATCTTAACCTGGACAATATAGCAGTAGGCCCCTAGACTATTAGAATAAAAGCTACTAATTTCTGTTCAAGGGGAGACAGATATGTGCCATATTTCATAGTTTCTAGGGTTGGAAGGGACCTAACAGATCATCAAGTCTGACCCCCTGCTCTGGGCAGGAACGAGTGCTGGGATCATAATACCCCAGCCAGATATCGATCCAACCTCCTCTTGAAGACCCCCAAGGTAGGGGAGCGCACCACCTCCCTTGGGAGCCCATTCCAGAGCCAGGCAGCCCTAACCATAAAGTGATGCCTCCTGATATCAAGCCTGAGCCTGCTCTCAATCAATTTGTGGCCATTATTCCTTGTGGCCATTATTCCAAGTGGTGCCCGGGGGAACAGCACCACTTTGATGAATATTTCTAGGATTTTTCCTGTAATAGAAGTTAAGCAAACTAGCCTGTAGTTTCCCAGGTCCTCACGGTTCCCCTTCTTGAAGATGGGCACAATATTGGCCCTCTTCCAGTCCTCCACTGATGATGCCCCACTCCATCTACACCCCGCTTTTGAAAATCCTAGATCCACCCATGGGCTGTGGTATAAAGAACAGAGCTGAAATCCAGCCGTGCATGTTAATGCCATGTACCTGCATTTCCAGAGGCGTGTAACACAATCCCTGAGGCTATCCAGTGTACTTCTCTGTTGCAACATCAATAATTTAGCAGGTGCCTCTCCACACAGAATGGTATGATCCAAGCACAGGAGTTCCTGAGAGCTAATCCAACCTTGCCTTCACATGCTGTTGTAAACTTAGGAAAATCGAGGAAGAAGGCACGGGGATAAAACTTTAGCCGTACAAACGGCAACACAGGACAATGAGACGTCTCTCCTCTCTTCTGGACTGCACAAAGATTACTTAGACACCTAACGCCATGCACCTAAAGCCAAGCTGATTTAAGCACTTGGTTGTGAAAATGCCACGCTACATTTTGTTGCAAGATCTTGTAAGTCTGAGCACCAGGAAAAAAACCGCTTGCTCCTCACTCCTCCCCTGTGCCCTGGACTGCGACCGTCAAAGCCACTGGGATGCAGCTGAGTCTCCTTCTGACTTGTTAGGCCCAGTGCTAAGCAGCCCTGGTCCCACCTCTCAAGGCTTTAAGGGAATAACTGAGGCCTTTCTATTGGCTTCAGCGTGTGTTGAGATGGGCTTCCGCTCGGGGTGAACTTACGGTGACGGGGAAATAGTCCCTCATGTATCTCCAGACGATGCTTTTCCTTAGGAACTGATTCCGTCTCCCACCTTTGTGCGGCGTGTCCCAGTCCAGCAGCCACCACGCTGCATACAAGACGCTGACCAGCCACAAGCGAGTGAAGAGGAGGCCGACGAAGAGGATCATGCAGCATTGAGCTGAGACAAAAACAGGGTGGTCAGCGCGTGACCCGGACCTGGCTGGGGTTACGAGGCGAAGAAAGAGCATTTGGCAGAACATTTTCTCTGTTGCTGCTGGATGCCAGCTGACCACAAGTGATACCCCACCGTGGCCAGAGGTCTCAGGAAGCAGATTGGGGCTAATGCCTCGGTTCTGTGGTTAAAAGGGAAATCTCTAGCACGACACGACGGATGCTGGGTTCTCTGCATCACCGAGTCCCTCCAGCGAGGGGTCGATGTGGAGGGAGCACCCCAGCCCCGTGGGCCTTTGCAGCTGGTTTACTGGAGCTCTAAATGGGGCAGGCACCAGGGGCACTGCTGAAGGGCTAAAACCTGGGTCTATGCAAGCTTAAAAAGTCCTAGAAGTATAGGGCTAGAAGGGACCTGAAAATGTTGTCCAGTTCAACTCCTTGTTCTCAAGGATACCCCCTGAAGTCCAGGATCCCTGCATCCCCTTTGATGCAGCCCGCAGCCTGGCACTACTGTTTGACTAGTTAAATCACAGCATCCCAGAGTCATAGTATCGAAGAAAATCTAGTCTAGACTGTCACATCTAGTCCAACCCCCTGCTCAAAGCAGGACTAGATCATCCCACCCAAGGTCATAGATCCAGTGTGGCCCACCACCCAGGGCTGCCCCTTTGCAATGGCCCTTCAGGGAGAAAACTTTGGGAACCCTTTACTTTGACTGTCCCCCTCCCCTCCCCCAAAATATTTGTCTAACCTGATAAAAGCCTTCCAGTGATGGGTGTCCTCCCAGCTCCATCACATAATGTGCCCATAGGTGCCAACTTTCATTTTTGCCGGGGCTAAGTTGATACCCCCCCACCCCATGCATCACCTTGGCTGGGCAGCACCCCCCGGGCCAGCCCTTGCCCCACTCCCTCCCTCAATCTGCTCCCCCCCATAGACTTCACTGCATGCAGCTGCGGGAGCTGCTCTCTACCTCTGCCTGGGGCTGTATTCCTGGCCACATGCATGTGCGCGTGCATACACATACACGTGGCACCCTCCTGCGCCTCACAGCCCCTGGCAGGCTGGAAATCTGCTGGACTGCAACAGGAAGCCTGCCCTTTCCTACATTTTTCTGTGGTGAGCAGAAAACCTGGATGCCTGTACAATACTGGGAATCTGGGAAAAATGCTGTCCCAGAGTTATGCAACCTGGGACTGGGACCTGATGTTCCCATTTCAGGACTGTCTTGCCCAATTAAGGACAATTGGTCAACCTACCCTCTTCCCTCGGGCCCCCGCGTACTCAGCGCCTATGCATGTGCCAGTTTTTGGCTATTCAATGCCTGGGGTCTCTGTGGAAATTGGCCACAGCGACACAGGCAAGGCCTGCTGGGACGTGGAGTCCATTGCGGGCCAGACCTTGCCTGCCTCTGCTGTATAAGCCATGACAAAACAGACTGTTTCCACCAGGGTGAATATATGTAGCTCTGGATTAGCACACGTGTTTTGCAACGGGTCATATAATCCTCTTTATAGTCGAAATGGCGTCCCAAAATTTCCTAGGGCTCGCAGAAATGCTCACATGTGCAACATCTTAATTGCATCACAAAGGATGAGCATACCCAGGCAGCAGCCCACATACAAAACCATACCTGTGGCAAGCACACCGCGCTCAGTGGGAATATCGTACTGAGCTCCAGGCTGGAAGGATCCAGGACCTTTCGCCTGGCGGTGTTCCTTTAAAACCTGGAGATCTCATTTTGCAAATGACCTCTTGAGACTCAGGTGCAGAAAGCAGTTGTAACCCTAGGGGAACATTTTGCCCAAAGCTAAATGAGACTCTAGGGACCAGCCGATGTACGAAAGCACTAGATGGAGAACACCATCAGCTGCATTCTTCCTAACGCGCCAGTGAGCCATGTAAACAAATCTGCTGCAAAATTGTGTAATATCTAATTACCTTTTTTTTCCCTTTTATGATTACAGTGTGCAAAGCTCAAAGTACATGTTACAAGAAAGCAATATTGTTCCTGGCTAGATTCAATTGTTGATCAGCAAAGTGAGACTTTAATCTTGCAATTACCTCTTTCTGATTAATGCTTCTTCAGCTCTCCATCTCTCATTTTGTAATGGGAGATTGCTGCAGAGCTGGGGTTGGGTTTCATTAAATTCCACTTCTGTGTAAACAGCAGCCTGTTTTGCTGGGTAGGATGCAGGCATTCAATTTGGGCGTGGACTTCAAGCCTTAGAGGCATCTTGGTGGCAGTGGATGTAAGCAGAGAAAACAAGATTTTTTTTAGGGTTTGATCTTGCTAGCTGTGTGCTGGCCAGAATGAAGTCACTTCCCCAGTTGGAGACACAAAGACACGATCCCTACAGGAATCAGGACTTGTGGTAGAGGTGATATCTTTTTCAGGCACAGGAGAAGCATATAAAATATATAAATTGCATATAAAATGAACTGTTCCAAACAGGAGATTTTACCACATCTTCAGCTCTCCCATGAAATATGAACTTTCATTTCTACCCAGGAAAACGTTTACAATCTTTTCTCCTGTGCCCGAAAGTTTGCAATTCAAGAATTTTATTTTATTTTTTTTGCAAAAATCTAGTTGGTTTAATAAAAGATATCACCTCTACTATGAGTTTTGATTCCTTTTGCCTCTAGACCAATACGGCTACAACCTGGATAACCGATCCCTACAGGGGCTCTTCTGTTGAATTTGGAAGGTGGGAATGGTGCTGCACCTGGTAGGGAAGTAAAGCAATGATGCTGTTGTATGGTATGTGTTAGAGAGAGAACATAGCAGAGCCAGGTCTCTGCCTACTACCAGGGTATCAGAGGCACGGCAAGTTCATTCAGCACCTGGGGCAGGTATGCTGACCTGTGTAGAGTGGGGGGGGAGAAGGGAAGTCTTACCTGCCTGGTCTCTCTGCACAAGGAAGGCAGCTGCTACTGTAGCCAATGCTTCTATTTTTCCACTCATCTCCTCCCCACCCCTGCAACCCAGATGAGCTGCTGAGGCAGACACGTAAAGGAGAGGGCAGCCTGCGATGTTGCCTATGCATCCTTGCTGATGCTAGATCTAACCTAGCCACTGGTACTTGCTGCTATGCTGCATGCCAGTCACTAGGGTTTAAATCCCAGCTCTGGAATCAGTCCTGGCTCCAGTTTAAATCCTGGCTCCAGTCATGTCGACAGGTCACTAGACTGCGTCTCCGCTCCAACCTCGGCCTGGCTGGGATTCCTTCACCTGGCGCTGTCTAGGACAGTCGTCCTAGGTTACTGTGATCTCTAAGTGGGTTATCACCTGGTCATATGGGAGACATCACTGTGATCCAGACCCACTGGCTAGGGACAGCAATTACGCAAAAACTGGTATAAGTGATTGGACACTGGTTCAAATCTGTAACATAACAGAAGTTCAGCACGCATAAACTGCTTTCAAAATGGCCAAAACCAGCTTAAGATAAACCCGGATGGAAGTAGTGTCAGACTTAACTGATTTAAGTTAAATTGGTCTTTTGAACTTCTGTTAGAAATCCCCTCCAGTTAATGCAAAGTCCCCCAGTATCCCAAGATGCTTTGCACCTCCTCTGCAACCCCTCCCCTTAAAGGATGGGCAGGTTAGCCTTGGCTCAACCTGTCTGCTCCAGCCAAGCAGGGAGGTATGCTCTAGCACCCCCCGGCTTCTGGCCTGGGCCCACTGCAGGCACGCGGCTGCATTTCTGGAATCAAAAGTGAACGTCTGTTCACTTGCTTCTGAGTTCAATCTATGCAGCTTAGACTAACCTGCGAAGATTGAATTGATTCAGCCTCTGGTTTTTTGACTGTCTCTACTTGTCCACCATGGGTAGGGCAGGTTTGAGCGTCTGGTCTGAGCCTGTTGCCTCTTGGAGGGTTTTGCGCAGTGTTGTGCTGGAAGACTGCGATGGATCCCTGGGTCCTCAGTGAACCAGCTGGTGGTGTCTGCCTGGGAGGGGGGTGCATAGGTGGAGGGAAATGGCTCTGCTCTGACTATACTGTAATCTCTCTCCATTTTCTGTATAGCTGTGTATGTGTCCCTGAACAAAACATCCCCAGTGAGGGACTGCTCAACCTGGTTTCCATGGCAGTCAAGAGGGTTACTGCTTGTTACCGAGCTCCTGATTAAATCCTGGTTTTGGTTGCACATGAATAGAGTCCATGCAAAAAAGAGCAGAGTCTGGACTGGAATGTGTGCTCCCAAAGACCGTGATAAACTCATATGATGCCCATCCCTTTCCCTCCATGCCTGTAAGGAGAGAAGGGGCCTGGACTGACCATGAGGAAGAGCGATAGCTTTTGCACTGGGAACCTAACACTTGCAAGCGCTCTTCTCTTCCTCTCCTGTCTTCAAAGCTTCCTGGTACCTTTTTCAGAGCAACTCAGCTGAAAGGGGAGACCCAAGGCAACTTTGGATTTTAGTCAGGGAGCTAATGGCTTTGTGGCTGAGGTCTTGCCTGAAAGAAAATACTGCAGAGAAGATGCATCAGGAAGAAGATGGGACTTGAAATAGCCCATCTTGGGAGATGTCCAGAGGGTTTTGGCTGGGCTGGGAGAACCATTAGTACAGTGGTTGTCAATCTTGTTAGACTTGTGGCACCCCACAGAAAATGCCAGGTCTTAGTTTTCACTCTTTTTTTTTTGATTATAGTAAAACACTAGAGCAGTTTTTCTGTTGCAAAGAACTCAGCAAGCCCACAGCTATGGATTCCTATTTGAAATCGCTGGGTTTATCTTGTGAATTATATTTGCAAACCTAACAGTACATGGTATGGCACCCTTGAAAGGATCTCCAGGCACCCTGGGTGCTGCGGCACCCTGGTTGAGAATCACTGCATTAGGAGAACAGGCTCTGCCATGACTTGACCAAGAAGTGCTGAGGCTCACAGTCATTGCTTATTGGTCTCTCTAACCCTAACCCTAAGGGATCCACAGAACCGTATTCAAACCTCAGGGTGTAGGAAAGTTTTAGGGAGGAAGGAGGAGCCTGAGGTGAAGCTG